GCGATGCATCGGCGATGCATCGGCGACGTCGGCGACGCATCCGCGGCGTCGGAGTGGGGAACATCGGGCTCCACATCGAGCCGCATCGTCGACGCATCGGCGATGCGACTCGACCCTCCGACCCCGTCTACTCGGACCCCATCTGGGACGCCTAGAAGCATGCCACGGACGCCACAACCTCCCGACCAGTGGGCCGCTGGAGCGTCCATGCACCGAGCTCCTCCGCCGAGCTCCTCGGCCCCTTTGCCGGCCAAGCGACGTGGTGCGCATATCCCGACCCCCCGACGTCCCCAGGAAGCGCCAAGATCGTCGTCTGGCTCTCGGGTCGCAGCTCGGGTCTCCAGCGGCCGTCCCGGGCGACCCCGGCACCCTTCGAGGAGCCGCGAGACGCGGCCGCGTGGAGCGCAAAACGCGGCGAACCGACCGCTGGGAGCCAGCGCAGAACACCTGTGGGAGACCAGCAGGTCGTGGGGGCGCGGGGGCGGCGGCACGCCCAGCGAGCTCTGAAGGGGGCCCCGGGGTGCGCACCGAGCCATCCAATGTCACTTTGGAGTCCCGAAGCGGCGCGGTGACAGACCGTGCGGTGACCTCGAAATCCCCCAAGACCTCACCGCACGGCCCGTCAACGCACGGTTTTGTGGCCCCGGATGCCCCAATCGCCCGAGACGTCCTCGGAGAACGACCCGAATCCCGAAACTGTGCGGTGACCCCGAATCCCCACCGACTCACCACACGGTGTGGTCACCACCCCGTTCGGGGGCCCGAGCCATGCGTGTCTGTGCGTGCCTCCAAGACGCGGCCCCCGGAGGTCTCGACGCTCTCCCTGGGGCCGGCTCCTCCTCCCGAGGTCGTTTCTGGGCGGCCCCGCGGCCGGGCGAGGGCCCTCGGTCGGAGGCCGAACGTGGGAGGTCGGGGTGGGCACCCCGCCCCCTCGCGGTGCAGGGGGGCCGGGCGCTCCATGAGCTCGGGCGGCTTCAGCCATCTCAGCTCGCAGCTGGACGACCTGGCGCGCCGCTGCTCTCTCCTCCTGCTCCTCCTCCTTCCTCCTCCTCCTTCTCCTCATCGTCCTCGTCGTCGTACCCCTTCTCCTCCCGCTCCCCCCCCTTCCTCCTTTTCCTCCTCTTCCTTGTCAGACTCCTCGTCCTCATACTGGTCATCCTCCTCGTCCTGGTCCTGGTCCTCCTCCTCCTCGTCCTCAGTCTTCGTCCTCCTCCAACTGATGCCATCGCGCTACCTCACAGGTGCGCCTCCAGGCAGTTCGCGTCCTGCTCTTCCTCCTCCTCCTCCGCCTCCTCCTCCTCCTCCTCCTCCTCCCCCTCCTCCCCCTGTGCGTCCTCCATCTCCTTCTTTTCCGCCTTCCTCCTTCATGCCTGGCAACGCTAGGGAGGGGAAACTCAGACCTGCAATCGGCTTCACAGCGCCGATGGATCTGCGATAGTCCTTGAATAGCAAGTCCGCATGTCCTGGGGGGGTGGGCTTGGCTATCAATGGGCGATTGGGGGTCGATGTAGCCCCCCAGAGCTAGTCCCGCCCAATGACAACTCGAGATCCGGCGGCCGTTCGGGACGATTCTGGCACCCCTAGGACGCCTTTGGCGAGGCGCAGCCGCTGGAACGCAACCCCGAGGCGAGCGAGCAAACCTCCGAGACTCAGGGAGAATCTCTGAGAACCCTCCAATCGCCTTCTGAGCCAAGTCCCCCCCCCCGAGGAGGGCGCGCGCGCAGGAGAACTCGGGTCTCAGGCGGTCGTTCGAGCCGATCTGGGCGCCCCTGGAACGCTCCAGTCGAGGCGCAGCCGCTGGAAAGCATCCCGAGGCTGGAAAGCCACCTGGAACCGACGGAAACGTCCGAAAACCTCGAGCCTCCGACCTCGAACCCCGCGTTGCCCCCGAAACAAACGTGCCCATATACCAGAAGGGTGCAGACGTTTCGTGCTTCTGGCTGCTCCTCCTGAGGGGGCGAAGGAGCAGGGAGAAGGAGGAGGAGGAGGAGGAGGAGGAGGAGGAGGAGAAGGAAGAGGAGGAGGAGGAGAAGGACGAAGACGAGGAGGAGGAGGAGGAGGACGAGGAGGAGGAGGAAAAGGAGGAGAAGGAAAAGGATCATAAGCGAGAAGGGGAGGTGTGAGGAAGAGCGCCCCAGCTGCAATATTTGACCTGTGGCGGCGGGGGGAGGTCGGCATCGGGAATCCCACGTATGGTAAGGGGTGTCCAGATCGACCAAACACCCAACGCTGAATCAGATCGAGCAGACCTCCGAGCCCCCTGCGAACAGGAGGGGGAAGAGGAGGAGGAGGAGGAGGAGGAGGAGGAAGAGGAGGAGGATGAAGAGGAGGAGGGGGGGGACAGGGGGTGGGCGGGGGGGGGGGGGAAGAGGAAGGTTGGGTGGGTGGGAGGAGGGGCCACCTGAGCCGATCCCCCCTCCGTACCGTTGCCCCCGATGGGGGGGCGCGCAGGGTAACGCGGCCGGCGGCACGCCCCCAAGAACCAGAGGCTGGCGCGCTCCTGCGTGCGGGGGCACCGCGGGCGGCCCGCGCCGCGTATTCCTCCTCGTGCGCGCCTCTCCGCGTCCTTGTGGCCACGTGCCCCTCGCCCTCGTCCTCGCCTTCGTGGTCCTCGTGGTCCTCGTCGTCCTCCTCCTCCCCCCTTCTTCGCAACCGCTGACGCGTCACCCAAACGCCCGCGCGCCCGCCACGCGTCCCATGGCGCGAAAACTATGCGGAGACAATCCCGTTCCGGAGCGGGGGAAGGAGGGGGGGGGCCACCCGCGCTCATACTCCACGTGAGGCCTTCGAGGAAAGGGAGGAGGTTGGTAGGGCGGTGGGGCCACCCAGTAGGGAAGGACGTACACACTGTAGACATCGTACCTTGCTCGTAAAATTATTCAATGAGCACCTTGTCTGAAACGCTGGAGACGTAATAGAACAATCTGTAGCAACCAGAGCACATGATGGTGGCGCAGATGCCTACAACGTTCATGTAATGTACGTGGTATCTGATGTAACGCTGTACTAGTACACCACTGTCCGCTACACTGTAGTCGTACGTTATCTTCTCCAGTTTCAGGCAGGCCCGTCTCGCCTTACTCTTTCTGGCGCCACGTGGTGCGGGGTGGTTCAGCCTGTTGGCCTCGTAGCCCTGCTTGTGGCTCTCGTAGCTCAACCTGTGGACCTCTTAGCTCTGCGGATGAAGTAGGGGGGGCGTTGTCCACCGAGCCGTCGGTCCAACGGTCTCTTTTTAACTTCTGGACGCTCAAATCCAACGCCGTGCCCTCGTAGTGCTCTGTGCCGTACTTGACCTCCATCGTGTCTCCGATAACGAGCGGCATTTGGGTCGTCCAGGTCGTGGGCCTTGGTGTTCGCCTCGTGGCCCTCGTAGTGCAGCGGCTGGCCCTGGTAGGTCAGCTGGTGGTCCCCGTAGCCCTGCATGTGGCTCCAGCGGCTCAGCGCGTGGGGGTTGCAGTTCAGGTGGTGGCCCTGGTGACTCTGCGGCGGGCTCTCGTAGAATATCAGGTGGCCCTGGTAGCCCTTCTGGTGGACATCGTGGCTCACTGCGCGGCCCTCGTAGCTCTCCTCGTGCCTCTTCGTAGCCCAGCTGGTGGCCCTCGAGGTACGACTGTTGGTTCTCGTTGCCTTGCTTGAGGCCCTCGTAGCTGAGCTTGCAGCCCTCGTGGCTCAGTTGGTGGTGCTCGTAGCCCTGCTTGTGGCCCTCGTCGTTCTGCCTGAGGTGCCGGGCGCGGGCCGGGGAGGTCGCAGTCATGGGGGCGCGTTGCTTACCTCCGCCGAGCGGGTCGCTCCCAACGGGGGGCGCCCCTTCTCGGCGCACCCGCGTGCTTGTTCTGCCCTGCGCGTCGTCCTCCGAGCGTCTCCAGGCGAGGTTCCCCCTCCCATGTTAGGCGGCGTGTCGCTCGGCTAACCCGCTTGCCCGCTGCTCGGCGTCCGAGCCCTTTGTGCTGCGTCCCTCCACTGGCCGTCTGTGGCTGGGCCGTCGGGGAGGTCGCCGGCGCGTTCCTGCCGCGCTCGTCGCCCGACGGAGCCGGCTACTGGCCATACCCAGAAGGTGGGGGGCGCAGGCCCCCGAGCTTCCTCCCCCGCTCTTGGCGAATGGGCGATGGAGGGGGCGGCCGTCCATGCGGCTCTTGGCCGCCGGGCCCTTGTCTTTTTTGTCTGCTGGGATGTGCCACTCTGAAGGGGCGTGCGGCGCTGTCGCTTGCTCTCTGCCACGCGACCCGTCTTCGCGGTGGCCTCGCGGGCCCGCAATGTCGTGGCAAGTCCCGCAACCGTGCCGGGCCAGCAACCTGCCGGCTGCCTGGGGGCGCTCCTGGCACCCGGCCGCGGCTGCGCGGGCCCGCCGGCCCCGCCCTGCAAGCGGCGTCCGCGGGGCCCGCAGCAGACCCTCGGAGCCGCGTCCCCTGCGGAGCGGAACTGTGACTGACTCATGGCGCCGTCGGCGTCGCTGGCACGTTCCTCGGAGGTCGGCCCGTCTTCGTCAAAAGGGCTCGCCTCCAACTCCGACGGCCTCGCCCCGCTGGAGGGATGCTGCTCCGCTGCTCCCCGCACAATGTGCTCAGCTGCCGCGTCCTCTCCCGCATCTTTCCGCACTACTCTGGTGCGATTGGGCGCCCGAGCAGCTCCTCGCGGCCCTGGCGACCTCCCTGCTGACGTCTGCGCTCTGCCTGGTGCCTTCTGAACCAGTCACCGACCCTGTCCTCGATACATCTGATTCTCTACAACTTGCGCTCCTGGATCCGTCGCGCCTCCTCCCTCGGGTCCTGGCCTGGTGTGATTGGCGCCTGCCTGCAGGTGTCCCCTGTCGCGCGTCGCCAGCACGTACCCCTCGTGGGTAGGAGCACTCTCCGACACTGTCCGCATCTTCACGACTGCTGTTCCTCCTCTGACGGCGGTGCCGTTGGTGGCCCCAGGGCCGCGAGCTCCGGCTGCGGTGGGCTGGGCGGCTGCCTAGGGGAATTGGGCGTAAACGTGGGCTCAATATGACGCAATCAGAATCAGTATGGCTCAATAGGGAAACATAGGAATCAATGGGAATCGGTAGGAATCACTCGAAATAGCCAACAGCCAAGAATACTCAATACGGATCATTCGGGACCAATGCGAGTCAATCAGACAACAATAATAACCAATCGGAGTTCATTTGAATCAAAAAGAACGTGTACCTATACGACCACGTTTCGGGTGATAAGGAGGTTCGGGGGGGGGGAGGAACCAACGTCTCACTCGATCGGTCTCACTATCATCTCACTATCGATCTCACGATCGGTCTCGCTCGATCGATCTCACTCGATCGATGCCACAATCGATATCACTCGATCTATTTCATTCGATCGATCTCACAATCGATCTGGCTATCGATCTCACAACCGATCTCACTATCGATCCCACAATCGATCTCACATTCGGTCTCACTATCGATGTGACTATCGATATCACAATCGATCTCACAATCAACGTCACCATCATTATCAACAACATCATCGTCATCAACGTCATCATCATCGGGAACACCATCATCATCATCTCATCACCATCACCATCATCACAAACATCATCATCATCATCAACCTCATCATCATCATCATCGGGACACCAGCATCAACATCGGAAAACCACCATCATCATCATCGTCACCATCAAGATCATGAACAACATCATCATCATCATCATCATCATCATCATCATCTGGACACCATCATCATCAGCACCAAACATCATCATCAGTATCATCACCATCATCATCGGGACACCATCATCATCGTCACCATCATGATCATCGCCACCATCATCATCGGGACACCATCATCATCATTAACATTAACATCATCATCATCATCATCGGGCCACCATCATCAAAATCATCATCACCACCTCATCATCCTTCTCATCAACATCATCATCATCATCATCATCATCATCATCATCATCATCATCATCGGGACACCATAATCGTCATCATCATCATCATTATTCTCATCAGCATCATCATCGGGACACCATCCTCATCAACAACATCATCCTCAACATCCTCCTAATCATCATCAGCATCATCATCATAATCGGGACACCATCATCATCGACATCATATCAACATCATCTCATCACCATCAGGATCACCAACATCAATATCATCATCGGGACACCATAATCGTCATCGGGACACCATCATCATCATCGGGGCACCATCATCATCATCACCTTCATCATCATGATCATCTGCATCATCCTCATAAACATCACCATCATCATCAACATCATCATTATCATCGGGACACCCTTATCATCACCACAATCACCATCATCACCATCGCCAACATCATCAACATCATCATTATCATCATCATCATCATCATCATCATCATCATCATCATCATCATCATCGGGACACCGACGGGACACCGGCGGGACACCGGCGGGACACCGCGCGCCACCGGCCCCCGGTCAAGAATCATTTGGTCCGGCCGCGCCTCAACCGGAGGCGGGACACGGGCGGGACACTGCGCCCCACCGGCCCCCGGTCAAGAATCATTTGGTCTGGCCGCGCCTCAGCCGGAGGCAGGGCACCGGCGGGACACTGCGCCCCACTGGCCCCCGGTCAGGAATCATGTGGTCCGGCCGCGCCTCAGCCAGAGGAGACCTTCTTGTCGCCCGCCCACGCAGCTTCGCCTCGCCCGGGCGCACGGCACGCACGAACACGAAACCGAAACCGATTTCCCGGTAGGGGGGCTCTCCGTTCCACTTCGATCTCACTCCCCAACCTCCGATACATACAACAATGGGGAACAATCGGAATCACAAAGAAACAACAAAAATCAATGGGAACTAATGGAAACTAGCGGGACGCAGCCGGAATCACTAAAAAAGAAATATGAGTCAATAGGAATCAATTGGGATCAATGAAAATCATCAAAACAAGAAACAGAAGGAGCCGCTAAGAATCAGTGGGGAACAAACATAATCAATACGAACGACAAGAAATTAATATACATCAATCGGAATCAATGGGAATCACTTGTAATCAATCGGAATCGAATGCGTAGAACAAATTGGAACCAAGCGGAATCGATTTGAATCAACCGGGATCTACGGGAATTCATCGGCATCAACAGTAATCAATCATAACCAGTGGGGATAACTAGTAACAAATAAGAAAGAATATACATGTCAGAAAAAAAAAACATAAATCCATAAGAACCACCCGGAACCGATCGGAATCAACAGTGATCGATAGGAACGAATGGGGTCCAACAGGAAACACTGGGAATCACTGTGAACCAGCAAGAAACAATAAGTGACCGACACCATCAGTGGGAACCTATAGGGATCAATAATAATCATGGGGTCCACAAGGAATCACATCAATCGGAACTGAATAGAACCAACTGGAAGTAATCGGAATCGATAAAAATCAATCGGAATCACGTGGGAATCACTGGGAGCCAATAGGAAACAATGAAAACATGAATCGATGGGAATGAACGGGAGTCACCAGGA